TTGTATGAAGAGAAATGCTTACTTAATTGGGAGTTCATTAGCTTGTAAAAAAAAAAGTAGGGTTTATATTAGGAGTGTTAACGGGTCGAGCCGAGCCGAGCTTTGATCTTAACCGGCCAAGTCTATATTTAAACGTGTCTGACTGGCCTTAGTCTGTTACCTGTTACCTCTTACAAATATAATATTGGCCTGTGGCCTGGTTTATTTACAAAAAATAAAAGCCTGTGTGAAGCCTGTTTTAGCCTGTTAGCATGTTAAAGAATAAAAATAAGAGAACATAATTCCACAAAAAATCAATTTTCAGATAGAAACCTTAGCTTCCAATTTGCAGCAATAATTTACAAAGTCTACAATAAATAAATAAAATTAAAGTGAGAGAAGGTAGATAACAAGTTATATTATCTTAACCCATTATAAAAAAAGTGCCAACAAAAATAAGAATAAATAAAATAAAAAATAAATTGACACAAACGAGCAGTGCACAGTGGAACGAATGAGTTTTTGTGGGTTTGTTTGTGTGAAGGAGGATGAAGGATAATATAGAACAGCACTAGTAATTTCATAAATATACATAAATTCAATATATATCCAAATAGCATAATATAAAACAAAATCATTCAAAAAATCTGTTAAACCAATAAAATGAGGTGAAATAAATTGATGAGAAAGAGTTATTACAAGTAGTATAAAAAGTATAAATAAATATTTATATACTAGGCTAGCCTGGGAGGCTCTAAGGCCGAGCTTCTGAATTAGAGCCTGAGGCCTTTTTATTAAACGAGCTTTTATACAAGTCCAAGCCTGGTTCCAACACGAGCTTTTATTAAACGAGCTCAGGCCTTTACGAGTCGAGCCAAAGGCCCCTGAAAGGCCTGTGCCTCGTTTACCACCCCTAGTTTATATCATGTCATTATGCTACTTTTGAATGCAAGAGGAAAAATTATCTAGTTGCATTTTAATTTTTTTTTTGCCAAATTAATTTCATTTTAAAATACTTTACCCATATTTGGTGTGTAACTATCAACGTGATAAGTTCTAATGAGTTGCACACATCACTTATTGCGTAATTAGTTGTGCACTAGGTGTATGCACAACTATTGTATCCACAACTAATTGAATTTTGTCATATGACACCATGGTGATCATCTGTGGCACCTATTAACTAATACGTGTAACGTGGAATACCTATCCCAAATGAAGTATTAGTACCACTTACATGCACACATAGTCGTATTGGTTATAGAAACAAAATACATATAAAAACATTTATAAATGTGACATTTGATGAACTAATCTTCCATTTTATGTTCATAAGCTTCAGAGGGACTGTGGAATTAGATTACATCATGAACTTCATCAGTATACGAAGAATCACTATCTCCATTGTATTCACCAGTTTGAGAGCAAGCTCTTACCATCAACTGATAGAGTCATAGAGATATTGGTTAATATTATGCATTGGTTTTTTCTCACGTTCAAATATCATCCCTCATCGACCTTCAAACTTTTCTACCATTACAAAATTATATAGAAGATAGGATGGGGGAAATACAATTTGCCACGTGACGAATTCTAGTTAGTTGCATACATATTTGGTGCATAATTAATTGCACATGTGATATGTGCATAACTCACGAGAGCTTGCCATGTGGTAATTGCATATGTACCACAACACATCTAGTTGCGCATAAAGAGTGTGTACAATTGACTGCATTAGTTAGATAAAATATTTAAAAATAATATTAATCCAATAATTTTTTAAAAAAATACAATTATAAACTTTTTTTTCCTTTGATTCTAGCTAAAAACTTTTTTGGATATGCATTTTACTTTTAAGAGGTTTTGAGTAACCAATTTTGAAATAAGGGTTCCTTACTTTAAATCAATTATGAAACCTAAGGATGAAACAGAAAATTTTTAGAATTAAGGATAGGAATGAGATTAAGTTAAAGGGTTTGCTTTTTCTCCAGTTACTTCAGATAAGTTATCTGCAGTCAGTAAGTCCAATACGACGTCGTTTTGGGGCGAAAATCATGGTATTTTTGTAATTTTAATTTATTTCAGAGTTATAATAGTTTTTATATTTATAATTTTTTAAGATTTCAATACCTAAACGACGTCGTTTTGCGAATAAATGCAGATAACTTATCTGCATTAACTGCAGAAACATTTTTCTCTAAGTTAAAATAATAAAACCCAATAACATAAAAGAGCCAAATGTTAAGAATAAAGAATTCACATGCTCCCTAAACAATTTAATATTGATTGATTTTGCTTATCCATTGGCCTCTACCAAGGGGTAATTTGTGGGCATATAGTACAATTTTTTTAAAATAATTTCACCATAAAAATATCAAGAAATTATAACAAGGAAAAATAATTTCTTACAAATAATATAATAATTATGATGATTTGGTATAGCATCTCAACATTTAATGTCAAGGTCCGCTATGTTGATTTTAATCTTGCCTCTTAAGAGATTGTACACAATTTAAGAATTCCATTATCCATAAGTAAGATTTAACATTGTATAGAATTTATATATTAGATGAAGATAAATACCTGTATTTTAATGTTAAATTATCTCCTAAAACAAAAATATTGTGACCTTCTCTTTACTATTAGGTTTCCAAGAGAGCAATCACTCCTGTAAAATACTAACAAACTAATAAATAAACATAATTAAAATTATTTTATTTACAAGAAAATAAAATGTCTATTATATATATAAAACAACGATGATAAGTTTACAATTAATAGGCATGACTCTAGGGATATGTTTCCAACTCAACAGTAAATTATTAATTTTTCTAAATAATTGATTCATTCAAGCTTCTCATGTTATAGAAAAATATTTTATCCTATACACACAATAAACATATGGATCCCAATAAAAAGAGAAAAGGAAAAAAAAAATAAGATCCACATATTTATTGTGTGTGTAGAAGAAAAAATTCTTCTCATATAACATGAGAAGTCTTTAACCCTTCATTCAATAGTATTTTTTTATTAATTCAATAATGTTGATTTTATTTATACCAATTGATTGTATATATAATATTGAGATTAGTAACAACATTTTTTTTAATTTTAATATATAAAGGTTGACATTTTAAAACCATAATGATGGAAGTAAAAAAGTTGTAGTAATCATGGCACAGAGATCCAACCCAGAGAAATATTGGATGAAAGGTCATAGGAACTAGGGAACCTAAAGGGAAAGTGAGTTCAAAGAAGAAGACAAGGTCCTCGTTTGCAAATGCAACCCATGTTGATGCCATGGCCAATTGCAATTTGGCATTGGCCAACACCCCACTATTAAAGCGCATTCTTATTCTCCCCGTCCCCAACATCACACTACAAAAGAAACCTACTAATAAATATTTGCACCCACAACCACAACCATCATTTCTTCTCTCTCTTTTCTTTCTCACTTTCCTTTCATATACCTACATTAAACAAAACTGAAAAAAAAATGTATATCTAAGATGTTAAAAAGAGAAAATAGAAAGCGTAGTGAAGATAAGATAATTCTTTGTCAGTATTAATCATTTTAGTTTCCAATTCCTTCCTATGACCAATCAGCACCAGAAATCATGGGGAGAAAGTGGTGATTTTTTTTAATTTAAATTTTAAATAAAAAAATATTATTTTGTGTCTAACTCTCTCTTAAAATGACATAATTTTATGTCATATAAAATAACAAACACTTTTCCCGTATTTGAGTTTGATTCAAGTAATTATTGTCAGAAAAGACTTAAATAAGATTCTAATGTTAGACTATCTAACCATTTTGGAAAAGTTTAATTTAAAATATTTTATAGTCATAAATAAATTTTGGAAGAAGGAATGCAAATGAAAAGGAGAAGAAAATATGAAATAAGAGAAATTAGAAAAAAAAAAAAAAAAAAGATGAAAAGATTACATATTTCACCTCTTGTGACATGCTGAATGACGTGGTCAATGAAATGTTGCAAAATTAGTTTGTTTGATCATGTTTCGAATTCTGCTGTAAGAACTTGCGTAACTGCTGACGAAATTCACGAAATTTCTTGCGTAGCTGCTGACGAAATTCACGAAATTTGTCACAAGAACCAAGTTATTATAGTTGAAGTTGGACGAAGCCAAAAATATACTTATTTTTTCTCTGACAATGTAGAAGCCAAAAATAATTTTTTTTATGACGATGTGGAAGCCAAAAAATAATGAACTTTCCATTTTGACACAGTGAGTACTGATTTAAGCGTTCAACTTTGACCCATTCATTCATTATTTTGGAGATGTGGACCTAGTCCCATAAGCCCAGTTCGTACGCAATCTGGCTCCCTTTTCATCCCAACAATCTAACCAGGTAGCTAAAATGCATAGTTAGGCCTAATGTGAAATTTTTCATGCTTGCTCCAGGTTCTTTCATTATTCTAGTTATTTAAGAGCATATATATATATATATATATATATATATATATATATATATATATTAAAATTCATAGTTTGATGTCTCTGAATTTTTCATGTCCAATTTTAGAAGGATATAAAGCTAACTCAATATATTTTATTTATGGGGAACAAGAAGTGCTCGTGTTTCTATGGATCGGGATTTGGGGAGTTTTAAAATTCAATGGTTATAACTAGGTTAAATAACGTCTATTTTTTCTTCATCGCAGTTACTGAAGTTTTCATGTGCTTTTTAACCGAGTCATTTAGATTATTCTATTTGCCATCCTTTTCAACTTTCTAGCCCTCTTCTGTGCTTTCGGTATTAGTAATTCAGTTTCTAAATTTGTGTAGTCGACATTTTCATTCATAGGGAGGATCATTCGAGAAAAGCATTTCATTTTCTTCTCAAGTTGATCATTTTCGAACCATTTTGGACCCGCTCACCTATATGCAGGGGATATGAATTCATGAGTCATGACGAAAGTACTAGTTTGCAATTCATGCTTTGAAAGAAATGTAAAACCTTTAGATTTCCATACTTTATATTAAACATGCTAGGGAAGTGTAATCATACAAAATGGCTAAGCTGTCCCTAAACAATAATACTAACATGGGAAGTGCACCATCGCATTCATCAGTCCATTAAACAGATGAATATATTTAAAAAGAAATTCTGTAACGCAGATTGGTGCACCCCCGCCACAAAATAATATAGTTTAGGACTTTAGGCACATCCTTACATGGTGACAAAATATTTATGTACTAAGATATAAAATATAAGTATTTCACATGATGGGGCCCTAAATCATATTTAGCATCCCGGCTTAATAGTCCTTTCCGCTCTTCTTCCTCTAAAACCTTTGCTAACTTTGGATGGGAAACAATCAAACCTTTATTACCTTTGGATGGAAAACAATGACCTAACCAGAATTTTTATCACCCCCAAAACCAGACTCCAGAAATCCAGTTTGGCTTAGATGGCTAACATCACCCCACACTTTTAAGGTGCATTTGTCCTCACCATACAAGTGAAAAACATTCACGCATGTGTTGAGTATCTTCCCAGCAGGCCTTCCGTTTGGGCAGGCCCACTTGTAAAGTGATCTGATGAATCCTCCATGAGTGACAACGACTACACGCTCCCCTGCAATTAATACAGGTAACATCAGCCTAATGTAGCTGTGAGTGGACTTGAAAAGGGATACAATATTTATTAGGAATATTTTTTTAAAAATAAAATAAACTTTTTAGCCAATGTAGCCAAGCAAGTCAGGTGGCAAAACAGGGTGTCATGTAGAGTTATGAGATTATTGGATGAACTAAAGATCTCAGATCAAACCAATGATTAATTAGGAAAAAAATATAATTTCCATATATGTCATGACAGAAGAACGTTCACCAGTAGCATACCTTTATGCTTTGTGCCAATTCTCTGCAATGCAGATGAGCAGCGATCAAAAAGTTGAACAAGACTTTCTCCACCGCCCTGCACATAATGGTATACGGATCAATGTTATGTGCATGCAAAATTTAAGGCATTCATCATTATATATATATATATATGAGGTAGGATCCTTTGACACCAGTATCAAATTTGAAATTTGACACCACATTTGATAGCCATTCGATTAAAAAAAATCAATGGCTCTGATTTGTAAGCATGTGACACCATTGATCTTTTTTTATCTAATGGCTCTCAGATGAGGTGTCAAATTTCAAATTTGACACTGGTGTTAAAGGATCTTACCTATATATATATATATATATATATATATATATATATATACACACACAAAGCATATGTAAACTGAATGACAAACATAGTCATAGGAAGTTTGTTAGGACCCATTTGTAAGGTATGGGACTTGGAGTCCACATTGGTTGTATGAGCAACTAATGTGGGGTTTATAAGGCCTTGAACACTTTCACCCTTTGAGCTAGCTTTTGGGGTGGTGCACCTCAAGGTTCTTATCAAAGCTTTTATGTACATGTATGTACCCTTGTTTCCACATTAAGTAGCAGGTATTAATCTTTACTTTTATAATCTCAAATCTCTCTTGGTCATAACTGAGGACATGGCACATAATCAGAGACATTTTAGAGTTGAAGGGTAATTGCTTGCCGCAAGCAAGACTACTCGACAAAGATTTAGTTACTATATAAAACAAATAAGAGTAAGACAACTAGAGCATGGATAAAGCAAGTTCTACATCAATATATTAAGTGGACTCCACAAGATTTGCTAGGGTTGTCTTGCGGTTCATCCTTAGCATGTCTAGCTAGAGTTTTTAAAATAGATGATGATCTAGCTGATCTTAAAATGACCATTTTCTGAGTTCTCTGACAAACATCTCTTCATATTTTATTATGCCATGTTTATGACATACTTCCGATGCTTCTTCCAGTTCCACATGCAGCCACGTATATGCACTTCCAGGGAGCCATAAGTTACAGTCATCTTCCTGTGAATTCTCTGGACACACCCCACTAAACTAAGATTTATCTTTTTATAGGTATAGCCTAGTCCGAACTTAAACTCTTCTTGTTATTACACGACTATCAAGGAATTTTATGCTAACAATTTGGTTTCTATGGTACTTACTGGTATTTCTTGATCTTCGTTTTTAGACACAAAAGCCTTGTAAGCCATGGGATTAGTTTTTGCTATTTCATGATAAACAAGGCCTTGAAGATCCCCCAGGTTTCTTTCCCGTAGGTCAGAATCCTTGACAACCTAAAGTTTCAATCAAAGGTAAATATTGTTAGGGAAAAAAAAAGAATAGGTAATAGATCACTCGTGATAAAAAAGAGTAGAATTAAGAAACAAAGAAATTGTAACATAATTAATTTTTAAGTTGATCATGAAGGCAGAGAAAGAAAGTAAAGTGCTAGAAGAGATATGCCTATACCCAAATATTCTATTAAACTGAGAATTGAGACATTTTTTTTTGTTGCTTTCTGTTAAAATGTGTTACGGCAAGGGTTCCAAATACTGATAACACCAGTGGACACAAGGAAGGGAAATAGAGAAGAACAGTAAAGAAAGAGAAAGAAAGACAATTTTATTTAATCAAAGAAATGGTTTCAAGAGACTCGCTCTTCTCAAGGGAAAGGTTCCCTTCAATTCTGAGATGAAACTGAGAGGATACAAGAATGTCAAAAGTCCCCACAAGAATGCCTAATTCTCCTATTTATACACAAAGTCCTCTCCAACTTCTATTACAATAGAAACTAACTTCTCAACCGTTTATTCCTATGTGTATAAACTTTCCAAGTAATTGGTTGGTCTCCTTGGCGAATACGAACTGTATCAAAACGTCTACAAAACATCTCAGAATATCTTTAGTATGTCTGAGAACATTTTAAAATATCTTTTCAATATCTTAGTAGATGTTTAGAATATATAGTGGAATCACATAATAATCTAATTGAGGAAGCAACTTTAGGAGTGGTTGCCTATTCATTATGTTTCCCAACTTATTTTCTTATTTAATTAAGATTATTATTCTTATTAGTGGGTTTGGGCTTTTACTAGTAATACCACACCAGGACTTGATCAAATTTTTTGTAAAAATAGGGTCAATGAAATTTTATCATATCATAACACACCATATATCAACTACATCTCATACTATTTAGGGTCTTTATTCTCGCTTTTCCTACTTTCCTATCTAAACCCTATAATTTCAACACTAAGGGAAAAGAATAATTTATCACTGTGTATTTTATAATTATCAAGAAATATCAGGATTACTTCAAGCACAGTCTAACAGTAGTTCAGGTAATGATAAAAGGCAAGAATGTCTGAATTCCTATAAACCCAATGAGCCAATAACTTCAAGCATTGAACATGTTAAAATGGAAATCATTACTAGGTTATTATCTTATGACAATTAAATCAATAATAAGCAACATGAAAAAGATTGACTTTGGGTGCAAACCTCTAGCCCTCCACATCTGGATGCAATTATCTGTGCTGTTTCAAAAGCTCGTTGCAAGTCAGAAGAATATATAACAGAGACCTTAGGTTCCCTGGATAGCCTAACAGCCACCTCCATTGTAAAATTTACAGAAATTAGGGTCATGAAGGCATAAATAAACAAAAATGTAATGTAAGGCTCCAATCATGGTTTGTATATAGAAATGAGAGAATGCAAAAAACACAACTTACTGCAGCTGCTTGCTGCCTTCCAGTTTCATTTAATTCAACATCCAGGTGTCCCTGTTTACATATATTAGTGAAATTTGAACATAATCAAGGCCAGAAAACTCAGAAGGAACCACAAATATAGGAATTAAGAAATAATGCACAATAAAAAGATCTTGTTAAATGCAGATACATACGTAGTAGATATTTATATTTCTGTGGAAATACAAGGAGAATTAGTTAGACATAGAAATCATCTTATGATAGGTAAGCACGAAAAGAATAAACAAACTATATTAATGGTCCTTTCTAAGATTCACCATGGGAAAATTGGTGTATCTGCATGTTACTTGCAACATTTGTTTAAAAAATTACCATTTTTTACTGCAAAATTTTTCATAGTCCATAACTTTAATTGTTGCCTGCAAATGCAAAAGTTTTTGCATATACATATTGTATCTTTGTTTTTACAAGAAAGCGACAAAAGTTACGTAGTTTTCACAAAAATGGATACAAGAATTTTTGTGAAAAACCAAAGTTTATAACTAGTTTGGATAACAACTTGTAAATAACCTACTTATACACCATTTTCCCAATAATGTACTGTAGTAAGGCCCTATATTAAATTCTTAATCATGCAAAACTAAGACTAGAAGGAAAAGCACAAAGTAATTTGACACATAGAGCTAAGTGATGGAAATACAGGGCACAAAAGTATGTGCAATTAGATTACAGCCAAAGATGGCCCTTTGATCCTTTCAACACGAAGTATTTTTAGGCCATGTATGCCATACAGACCTTAAGAGGAAGAGCTATGCCAGTGGCGGAGCAAGGCACAAGTTAGAGTGGGGAGATGCACCCCTCTCCCAACTTCTTCAATCCTTTTATGATATGGTACACTGTCTTTTTATGGTCCAGGCCATATTGAAGTTTGCCCCAACCCAAGTTACACACCAGGAAATAGACTCACTGAGGGCATCTAATGAATACACATATTGCAGAGGCCAAAAACGATAGCAAACTCAAATTTGGGTTTGAAGTAGGAAAGACATACAGCAGTTCAAGGAGGAAGAACACTCTACAATCTACATCACCAAAATTAAATAAATATATATATATATATATAGCGTAATTTATTGAAAATAAAAAATCTACACTTTTTAGCTTTTTCTTTTTTGTGTGTCTAAATAACAAATATTACTGTTTCTTTTGAATAGATTATAGGTAATTATAAAAGAAAATCAGTTTCAGAACAACAATCTTTGTATCAACCTCATGAAATAATCTTCATGATCATGTACAAATTTGTTCAAAGCAACAACAAAATGAGGCTAATTACAAATTACGTTTACTTTCCCTATTAAAATGACTGTTAATAGACATTTATCCCCAATCTATTTTACCTAAACTACCACAAATTATATTACCATTCTATATCTTCTGTAACTGATTCTAAACGGAATTGAGTAATCATTCTGCTACTATCCCAATCCATCCATCTCTGTTTCCATATACAACAAATGCAATATCCAATCAAAACAATTTCATATGCTGAAGCTGAAAAAGACAAACGTACCTGGATTCTACCATCAGCATTCCACGTTGTTTCACCATGACGCACCACCACAATCTCAGCATAATCTGGATGGGGATAGCTATAACCAGCATAATGTAACCAATTGAAAATCGAATCAGAAATAGGAAGAGCAACGCAAACTTGGAATTTCATTTAATTTGAAAAAATAAAATGTGAATATAAATGAATCATTCTATTTCCAATGTTCCGTTTTCAGAGACAGACATAGTCATAATGTGAAGAAAGGAACGAAGAGTTAAGGAGAGAAACAGGAACCTAGAATGGAAATCGTTGATGGAAGACTCGGCCATTCTGAGTGAGTGAGTGAGTGAACTCGAGTCAAGCAGTGAAGGGGGTTATGTAAATGTTGTTTCCTCGTTGCTTCGGTTTCATGCTTTTTCTGATTGCCTCCACCGTTCAATACGTTAACATTAACAACGGTTGTCATGCGTTGAAGTTTGTACTAGAATTAGAATAGTTGATAAAAAAGAGGTAGAATATATATTCTTACTATTAATTTTTTTCACTGTCACTTTAATTATTATTAAATTAGAGAAAAATTTATTAAATTCAATAGTAATTAAAGTGATAATAAAAAAAGTTAATAATTAAAAAATGAGGGAATGTTAGCGTAACATCTTTTTTACACTTTTTTTAATATATAGTTTTATGAGATAAGTTAATGTAAAAGTTTTATACTTAATCTTAAATTCATATAGTTAAAAAATAGAACAAAAGAGGAATTAATGATAAAAATTAAAAGTACAACTTATACTGACATAAAATAATTTTAATTTATTTTTATTATTAGATAAATTTTAATAGTAGTTTTATCCAATAATTTGGGTCTGTTTTATTAAAAGAGTCAGCATGATATCTTATCTAATAATACATAAAATATTTAAAAAATATCCAAAATTTATGTAACTAATATATATATTTTTTAAAAACTTAGACCTTAATTAGTATAATATAAAGAAGAGAAAAAGAAGGAAAATATAATAAAAAATTATAAAGGCTTGTTCTATATTATTTAATAAAAAATAAGATATATTTTTTGCTGTTGAATTTCATGTAAAAGTAGAAATACATGGTAACAATAATGAAATGCTAATAGTAACGAAATGGATAAAAATATACAGGACCTTTAACGGGGTAGATTTATTCTATCTGTAGTCCCTCTCGCCTTCGTACCAAACAAAGAATGATATTTAATAAAAAACTATTATCCTTTTCTATTCCATCTAGAATAGCATATAAAGCATATTCTTAAATCCTTTAACTAAACATTTTAATTTGAAACAGGTGGCATTCAACAAATGCATCGGATTCAACTGACTTGGTTTCGAGTAATAAAGCAAGGATTTGAGTCTTAAATATGTCACTTATTTTTATTTATTTTTTGCAAACATTAAATATGTCACTTTTGATGAAAGCCTTAAACTATATTAAAAAGCCTTAAAATATGGAATTTTACATTCTTTTATATATATATATATATATAGATAAAATTATCTCTTATAACATAAAAATACTACTCCCGTTTATATATATAAAAAAAGAGTTTGTTTTTTCTAAAGTTACTTTAGACAACTTTCTCTAATGTTCGCTGAAACGACGTCGTCTGGAAGCGGAAATCATGGTGTATTTGTAATTTTAATTTTTTTTCAGGGTTATAATAGTCTTTATCATTCAAATTTTTTGATTTTTCAACCTCAAAACGACGTCGTTTTGGTGAACATTAGAAAAAATTGTCTAAAGTAACATTAGATATTTTTTCCCATAAAAAAAGGAAGTAGTGTTTTTTATGTTATAAGAGATAATTTTATCTCCTACATAAACATAAAAGTATGTTGAGCCTTTTTTTTTTCCTCTCTTCTTTTCATATGGACCCACGTGGGTGTCACACACTTTTATATGTACGTAGGAGATAAAGATAAAATTATCTCCTACAACATAATTTAATCTCATACTTAAATGGTGCAGATATACATTAAGAGATTGGGAAAAAAAAAATTCACACTCACACACTTGTCATGAATGTCTGAATTTAGATCATATGCGAGGAACATTTTGATGACGGAATCTGAAGCATAATCTCAGCAAAATCCTTAATGTGCCTCATTGGACGAGAGTTCCTTGGCGTGGTGGACTGGTCACTTGGGCCAAAAGTGGGCTCCAAATTAATAATAATAATAATAATAACTTTAAACAAAATTTTAAATACATTAAAAAATGAAAGAATATAAATAAAAAAAATTTCAATTTAATATAAAAAATAATAATCAAAACTCAACTGAGCTATTATAATAAAATAATTACAAAAATATTTTTAAATTTTTCATTTCTTGAAAATATTACATTATATCTACGTGATTAATCTTATCAAATATATATATCACTAGTTAGTATCATGCATTAAACCAATCATGTGGAAACACGGGGAGGGCTCCTTGCTGTGATAAAGCAAACGTCAAGAAAGGATCATGGTCGCCTGAAGAAGACGCCAAGCTCAAAGCTTATATCGACCAGTACGGCATTGGTGGCAACTGGATAGCCCTGCCCCAGAAAATAGGTATTATATGGTTCATGTATATATTCATCAACCATCATAGATTAATCCAAATCAAACATATTTAACTTTTTAATGCTGTATATTTTAGTTCTTGATTAAATTTCCGTACCATCAATACTCAAATAACGTTAAACCAATCATCAATGCTCCAACTTTTTTTTTTCTTTCGAAATTTTGCATCTGCACTTGTGGTCACTTGCGTAGGTCCGCCACTGCTTACATGCTTTGGAAGTGCAAAATATCTTTATATTCCATTATTTACATTGATCATGATGATAAGTCCATGAATTGTGACTTAGAGCATGTGATTTGATGATAAAATGGAATGAAAAGACTATCTTTGTTCATAACAACCCCAATTATTGCATTGAAATAAAGATTTCTGATTTAAAGGGTTAATGGGCTGAATTTTTGTGTTTCAGGCCCAATTGGTATTATTTTCCTAAACTAATGAAAGAAGAAAAAATGGGCCAGTCATTTTTCTTATCAGAAGCCCGAAGTGAGAAGAGAAAAGAAAGAAAAGAAAAAGAGAGTTGGGCCAGAGGCAACTCAATCAGCGGCCCAAGAGAAAAGAAAGAAGAAAAGAATGAGAGAAGAGAACTGAAGAGGCAAGTCAGAAGAAAGAAAAGAAAAGAGGCAAAAAAAATTAAAATATTGTATTTAAATAAAATAATTACGCATTTAATGTTGTTTCGTAAAAAATTACACATCTACTGCAGTTTTGGGCGTCACATGTGACGCCCAAAACTAGCGTCACATGTGTGCTCTATATATTTCCTCACCCCCTCCATTCAATTCACACCTCTTCTCTCACTCTTCATATCTCTCTTCTCCACCAACATTCCTTTATCTTTAATTTAGTATTTGAATTTTAGTTGTAATTCTATTTAAAAATGAGTTCAAATCCTGATTCTGTTCGTGTTGTGTTATATTACAATGGTAGGAAGGTAGAAGGTCGACGAGGTGTCATATTCGAAGGTGAAAAAAGGCCGACACGTATCCAACGCAACACAACCATTGGCGAATTGCATCAGAGAATTCGGCAGAAGTTAAGTCTTCAAGACAACCAATGTATCACTGAGATCACGACAAGGGTGTGGCAAGGTGATAAATACATTAGTTTGAAAGTGCTTGACGATGAAGACTTGGAGATGACAATGGAAGAATTTTGCAACCAGTTAAGGACAGATTTTCTAGAGTTGTATGTCGACATCGTTGCAACGGAGAATGCTCCCATACCGGTGAGGTCAGTTTATTTAAATTCTCCCCGTCTTCCAGCTTCTCCTGCCGCTCATGCGTCTCCAGTTGGTATCTTTTCTGAGGGAGATGAAAATGATCTGACTTGGGAAATGCACGACGAAGATGACGATGAAAATATGGCAATGGAAGAACATCTTCTGGCGGAGGATGCTAGTGCTTCAGAAGGAGATGAATCTCGTGAGATGGGTGCGTCTGAAATTCCAATATTCCATCAACCAGTCGTCGCGCAAATGCCGCAGTTGAATGACGTTGCGTCTGCTCCGTTTGGTATTCCATAAGAAGGTAATTGTTCCCATTTGTATACTGCGTGAATAAATAACTGATTTAATGTTGCCTGAATTAGTAGTAAGTTCGTATTAAAAAATTATAACCCGCAATTGCAGGTGACACAAATGTTATTCCTTTTTGGGAAGGAATTCCGCATTATTCTTACATTGATTGGAGTTATCAGAGCGAACAAGAATCATGTACTGATGGTTCGGTGTCTGGATCGGCTTCAATACAAGGTCCGTGGCAACTGGGTGACATGTTATTTGTCAATCAAGAATTTGCGACAAAAAAAGATGTCCAAATGGAACTTAAGCACAACCTTATTAGGGAGCATCAAGAAGCCATTGTAATTGAGAGCACGCCTGCAAAGTTGTCCATGAAATGTTGTGCGTACGATCAAGGTTGTCCGTGGCACGTAAGGGCGATCAAACCGGTGTTTCGTGAAAATTGGAAAATAACGAGATGGGGTGGGAAACACGAATGTGTGAATGAGCACATTTCCCAGGGTCATAGACAGCTTGATGCGGACGTTATTGCAGATCTCGTGATAGGTACCTTTTTGTATTTTAAATGTGTGATTGACCACAAATGTGTAATTAAATTCGTTCGATGTTATCGAGGCACTGATATCCTCTTCAATGCAGGGATGATAAAGTCTGAACCATCTGTGTCAATCTCTTTGGTGCAAGAAAGGATAACTGCTAAATATGGCTTTCAAGTTTCGTACAGAAAGGCGTGGTATGCGAAGCAGAAAGCGATGGCAATTCTGTACGGTGATTGGGAGGAATCGTATGCTTTTTTACCAAGGTGGTGCGAATACATGCTTCGCTTTTCTCCAGGTTCATTTTATCATATACAAACTAATGATCTTTATGCCGAGCAGAGCTTAGTTTCTGGAAAAAAGGTTTTTCATCGCATTTTTTGGACGTTTAGACAGTGTTGTGAGGCGTTCAAATTTGCCAAACCCGTCATCCAAATTGATGGAACACATTTATATGGAAAGTACAAAGGGAAATTGTTGGTGGCCACAACCCAAGATGGTAATAATGAATGTTTACCGATCGCATTTGCCATCGTAGAAGGCGAAACTTTTGAAGCATGGGATTATTTTCTCGTTAATATTCGTGCTCATGTGCCTACGATGTCAAACATATGTTTAATATCCGATCGGCATCGAAGCATAATATCTGCTGTGGAAAATAACCCTACTTGGCAGCCGCCAAATGCGTATCACGTATTCTGTATTCGTCATATTGCAAGCAACTTCAATCAAAAGTTTCGAAATGAAGATTTGAAGCGGATG